AAAATGCTAGAACCTCTGAAGCAGGCTGTGTATTCATATGTCCTATCACTGCTAGTGAGGCTCTTTATTTTTTAAACATCATAATTTTAACTGAGCTCGCTATGCTATGGAGCTCTTGGTGGTTAATTTTAGGTTGTGCCCCTGTGAACAGAAATGTGCTGTTCTGATGGAGCATGTGTGCAGTGTAGATATGGAGCAATTACTGCTGTGGCCTGCTGCCATATCACCATATTATTAGCCCTGAAGAGGGAAACAATGCAGATTTATGCCTTGTTTGAGTTCTTTGTTTTTGTTATTTTTTCCTGTCTAGTTATTTTTAGTGCAAAATTGTTCCAAATTATGTCAAGGACAAGAGAAGTTGAACTAAAACCATGATCGGAAATGCTGCTGTCTGTGAGGGATGTTTCTGCAGACAACAAATACCTTGTATTGCATAACCCCGAAGAAATCTCTAGAAAGCAAAATACAGATACCTCTGTTATCTCCAGACAGACCCCAGTCCAACCTGTCCTGGCATGAAGAAGCAGATCCACTGGCTGTCAATTTTATCAGCTGCAGGATCAGAGGCTTTGAAGTGAAACAGCCACTTTCAGGAAAAAACACCTGTCTGTGTAAGGAGAGGAGCTGGCTGACACAGTCCCTCCTTTTCCACTGCTTTTCAAGAATACACAATACTCTTAAATCACTTACAGGCTTGTGTTCTCTGCTCAAGACATTTTACATCTCCCTGGGCTATTTGTTATTTGCTCTCAGAGACAGATCCATGGTGTTTCCCAGAAATTAATTAACAAATTCACGACCTCCTTTGGGTGGCTTGGGAAACAGCAGCATGGATGAATGCTCTGCTGGTAAGGTTTTAATGTTGGGCTGTCAGAGGTGCAGGTACCTGACAGCTCTTGAAGATTAATTATGGAGCACAGCTTTCTCTGTTCCCGTCTGCACGCTCCAAAGAGACAACTGTGTTTCCTTCCCTTTAATGAAAGTGTGCTGTAATAATGGCTTGCAAATATTTTATCTCTGGAAGCAATTACTAAGTTTGTTTTAAAAGCTGAGCTAACACTGAAGACGTTTACTCTCCAAGTAGACACCCTGTATTTGAGCTGTTACATTTCTTTTTACTATTTTCAAACCAGTGCTGTGCAGTTGCAAACACAAGTTTTTTTCATCTGCTACAGAAAACGTCCTAATTTGTTAATAGATTAACAAAAGGGGAATTAAGAGAGAGGTTTCAAGTGCAAAACAATGTGTTGGGAAATCACCTCGATTCCAAATTAAATTAGAAGTGTGTGATGCTGCCAGACATTGTCAAAGCTGTAATGAACTGTGAAATGCTCACAGCCTCTCTGCTCCCCTCCCACTGAGTGCCCTCCGCTGCCGCTCTCCATTCTCTAGTGCCTGCAGCCTCCTGCGCAAGACATTTTACATCTCCCTGGGCTCCTCGTTCCACAGCCAGGAGCGTTCTGTCTCCTGTAGGGCTACAGTGGCAGCAGTCTGGGGCTGTGACACTTCGGCCTCCACTGGCACTTTCTAATCCTTGCTGTTGCACAGTAAACCTTAATCAAAAACGATCTGCAGAGACTAGGGCCAGTCTGTCTTAGTCTGCTCTTGTGAGTGGCCTCAGGAGGATTTTGTCCTCAGCCAATTGTTGCCCCAGGCTCTTATGTCAGGGATTGCTCATTTGGTGGAGGCCACCTTTGGAAGTGGCTGCTGGCAGGAGTCTGAGTCACAGACAGAGTCAAATTGAAGGGAATTTGTTCTTTTCTGAATGTGAGAGAGCAGAGGAACATGCAAGCTGGACAAGGTAAGCTATTTCTATTTTTTCAAGCCTGAAGGTATTTTTCCTTCCTTTCCTGGGGAAGCTTGGTGCTAAAATACTTCTCTAGCAATTAAGAAATGTAGGTAGTGTTTCACACATCTTGTGTTCATGGTTATCTGCATGAGAAGCAATAACACACCCTTGAGAAGAAGCAGGCAGCCTTATATCCACAATGGGTGACATTGTCTGAATTTTGTGAAGTGATATCCCCTTCCCGATCAAAAATACTGTGGTACAACTGTAGCACAGAGTGTGGAAAGGTCAGAGCCACCTCCTCTCTTCCACAACCTTTACACATTCAAGGTCACATTGAATGGGTCTTTCAGCAACTGAAATTAGTTCAGGATGTCCCTGTTCACTGCAGGGTGAGTGTTGGACTTTAAAGGTCCTGACCTAAACCATTCTAAGATTCTATGGTTCTATATCAACCAACTACAGCCCTCTCCCTCTACCCTTCATTTACTCCTTTCTGTTGTACTTCCACTGATCCTATTTTGCTCCATTGCTTTGGCATTTTGGTGAAGAGAGGAAAAAGGACAGCAGATGGAAAATGGGGGTGCAGCTCCTGTCCCTGGGAGCAGAAAGCCAGTGCAACACAGCCCTGGTTCTGTTTTCTTCCTCCACTGTGAGAGCTTAGGATGCCATCACACAATAAAATACATAAAACTCCTTTATTGTTCCAAAAAGTCATGTAAGAATCTAAAGTCAGGTTTTTTGCACAACCAAAGTCAATGAGCAGTCTTCCCACTAAATTCAAAGGCAGCAGGATCAAGTCTGCAAGAATAAAATGGGAGCTCCAACATCAAAGGCAGGCAAAGAAAGGGCACAGCATGAGCTCATGGGATTGTTTACTATGCAATGTGTTCTCCACATTTTTTATACCTTTTGCTTGGATCTCATTTTCCTTTGAACTCCAGACAACGTGCATGTTTAGGCCCATTAAAATAAGTGATGTTTTTTAACAAACTACAATTCAGATTAGATCAATTCTTTAATCTCATGTTTTCCTCTTGAACACTAGAATCAACCATTTTATGCTCAGTTGGATATAAAATTAACCCAGGCACATTAGATCTATTCCAGAATGTTCTGTATTCTAAACAATCTAATTTTGCTGGGAACGTGCCAGGGTCTCATCAATAAAGGTGAACATAGTCCAGATCTAAACAGAAAGCTGCACAGCTACTGCACTGTGAAAATATTGAGTGAGGTGGGAACATAAACATTTTGATGGATACTAAAGAAAGGCCACAGTCACAGGCACTTCTGTCCAGGAAGAAATCAATAGCACAACACAGGTCATGCTGGTAAATCTGGTTAAGCAACTTCAGAAGAAAAGTCTGCTCAAGAAATCATTTTGAAGATCTGAAAAACCCAACAACAAAACCACCACTGACAACACAAACCACTTGCAGTCACTATTTCATTTGCTGTCTGCCTATGACTGTCCTCCCCAGCACTCTCCTATGGGCAAATGTTTTCCTTGAGCACGTGGATAGAGTATGGCAACGTATCTACCCTGTAAAATAAAGGTCTCAAAAGTAATGGGAAGCTTGTGAACAGGTCCTTGTGATTTTGGAAGGGAGACAGACCTTTATGTAATGTACAGGAAGTGCTTTTAGGAGCTTTGTGACTACAATGTCTATAAATATCTGCTGTAGAAAAAACACAAGGACACAAAAGAAGCTTTGTCAGAAAAAACAATATATTGTCACAGGGCAATTGCACTATTGCACTTTGCAGAAACTATACTCTGAGGCTGTTGGTTTATATTTTTAAGGAAAAACCTACAACTTCCAGACTCTACTGGGCTAAACTCTCTTTTTCTAAAATTTGCCTGTGGCTAGATCCCTCCTGTCCCATTAAGATCTTTTGGTTGTCTACCTGGGCTGAACTAGCACTGTTTTCTTGTACTTCTTGGAATAAAGTTTAATCCTGGGCAGAATTGTGGCTCTGTGTCATTTCCCACACTTTGGACTTTTGGGGGCAGTTTTTTGGGGGGCAGGTATTGCTTTCACAGCTCTTAACACGGCTGCCTTTTCTTCTGGAAGGCCCTGATTGGCAGCCATAAGGGCTGGCTTTGATTATCTTGAAGGTCTGTTGTGAAGATTGGTTTGAGCCCCAGCTCAGATACCTGGGGAAATTTCCTTTCCTATCACACTAAGGAATCACAGTGTTTAAAATGATAGCAGCTTGTTAAAGGTGGAGAAGATAAACAGAATAGCACATAATGGCAAGGTACAGTTTTCCCAAAGTCAAGCAATAAACAAAATAAACTGATTTGAAGTCTTCCTCTGTTATTTCAGGATAAGCAAACTGCAGGTTGGTTTGTCTCCAGCACTAACGCCCCAGGGGCAGACTCTGAGCCCCGTGTCTCCTCCCAGGATAAAAATGCCGATGCCTCAAGTCTGAACAGCCCTTCAGCAAACCCGAGGTCCTTCTCTCTTCTGTCTCCTCTACCAAGCTGTCCCTGTTTGACCATTATTCCTCTTCTTCAGTGATTTCTACCCCAAGATAAAATTTTCCCAAAGGATCCTCTTAACTATGGATCATTCTTTCTTTTTGTGTGTGTGTGTGTATTTCATGCCCTGAAGCTACAAGCTGTGAAAGATCAGACAGACCAGTCCCTCCAGGCCTGTTTTGGCTTGGTGAATTGGCTCAGGTTTTTCTTGTGTTATAGTAACTGTGTAATTTCCTCCCCTTTCACATGTCTGGGTTTTTTTTCTTAAGAGAAATTCTCCAAATATGAAAAACTTAAATATAAATCCAATGTCTTTCAGATGCCTGCCTTGCATATAACTGTTAATCCATTTCCTTACATCTTTTCCCTACATCCAGACTTCAGCTGTTTGCTTCCTCTTTGCAGGCTGCCATCCTTTTAGAGCTTTCTGCATGGGGTTTGCCTTCTCCTTTAGACCTCAGCCATCAGGCTTATGTCTCAAATCAGGTCAGGACTGTCTGATACAAAGCCTTTGGATGAGGTAAGTTCCCTCTTGGACACTCTGTGATCATTTCCTGGAAAAGGCATTTGTTTGCCTGGCCTGTGTCTGCTGTATCGGCTGCAACTCCTTATCAGCCTTCTCTTCTCTCTGGCCTCAGGCTCCTGTCTTTTCCTCTTCTCTGGTTTACCTCTGTGCCTGAAGCTGCTTCCTAGGAGCTCCAGGCACAGACCATGTGCCTTCCCAGACCATGGAGTATCTATTCTCCTGCTCCAGTATTGCCCCACTGCTGCTTGGATCAGACTGGGCTCCCAAGTCCAGACTGCCTGAAACTGGTGATGGAAGTTGCTGTATGAACACCATGTGACTTATAAAGTTAGGCAGTCAAAAATGCAGGCAATTGTAACATATATGATCTTTGGGGAAATGACTTGAGTGGGGTTTTAAGGCAGGATGTGTATAGCTGGTGCTTGAAAGACAAGTACCATATTTAAACCTTTTACAAAGATTATCAGCATTCCCTACAAATGGTAAGATACACAGATCAGACCTGTGGATTAGATACCATCTTTTTTGTAAATTGTTACATTTAAATTTAAACAAAAATGAAAAGTGTATGTGGAGGTGAGGAGGAGGAGGAGGAGGAGGAGGAAAAAATGTATGGGCTAAGGGAGAGTAAGTTATTTTAAAAACCCTCAAATACGCATGAGAGAAGACACAGCAGAAGAATAGGAGACTGCGGACTGCATAGGACGGTGCTGTTGTACTGACAAAAATAAGTAGAAAGAATAAGGATCTTCTCATTTTCTAAGACAATAAGTCACCATGTAAAATGGCATAATGGCTCTTTTTTTTTTTCTGTCTCCCTCTCTGCAAATACAGCCTGGAAGCACAGAAGAATGAGATTACCATATCTCATACATCACAATTTCTAATAGAAGTTACAATGCTGTTACCACATACAGTCGTGACATTTATCTTACTACAACTTTCTTCAAGGACATTGTAGAGCAAAACTCCCAAGTTTCCTAAAATTAGACACATTTTGTGTCTGTTTGCTGTCTTTGGCAGAATTAAAATTCAACCCTGCTCATATTTTATGTGATTTTGTAATAAGACCCACTCATTCATTGCAGAAGAGGCATTCTATTGTCCTATGACACTTTGGGATTGCAGCTGGAAGATGTGTCATTGGGACTTCCCTTTGTTTTCTCACTGTGAACTAGACACTTGTGGCAGATGCTGGATTGGCAGCCTCACAGAAACAGATACTTCAGGCCACCAGCTTGCACAAGTGCTGACAGTTCAAGTGTCTGGCTTCTGTATGGCACCTGTCACTTTGCTGCTCGACCACACAGGTTAATCAGCAGCTGTCAAATGGCACTGTTCAAGCACTCCTGGGCTGGAGTGGTAACTCACCTGGTCAATGCTGTGGGAGCACAGCCAAAGCTGAGAGAAGATTTCAGTTCTTTATTTCAGTCTTTTTTTTTTTCCCCTTTTAGGGAAGGAGAGACAGTTGCACTCATTACTGCAGGTCTGTGCCCTCTACCTGCCCCTTTGGGGATGCCCTTCTGACAGTCTGAAATTGTCCTTCCTGAAAAAGAGAAACAGGATGAGAGAGGGACTGTGATAACCCATTGATAACCCCAGTCTGATGAGGAGCAGCTGAGGGAGCTGGGGGGGCTTAGCCTGGAGAGAAGGAGGCTCGGGGGAACCTTCTTGCTCTCTATAACCTGAAAGGAGGTTGTAGCCAGGTGGGGGTCAGTCTCTTCTCCCAAATAACCAGGGACAGGACAAGAAGAAATGGCCTCGAGTTGCACAGGGGAAGTTTAGATTGGATATTAGGAACAATTTCTTCACAGAAAAGGTTGCCAAGCATTAGAACAGGCTGCCCAGGGAAGTGGTTGTGTCACCGTCCCTGGGGATAATTAAAAGTATCCGAGGGACATGGTTTAGTGGTGGACTTGGCAGTGCTGGGTTGACAGTTGGACTCAATGACCTCGGAGGTCTTTTCCAACCTAAACAATTCCATTACTTCCTTTTATGATTGCAGACAGCAGAGCTGCTCATCTCATTGTGATCTTTACAGTGACTACTGTCACCAGGACTCACATTTGTCACTGCTAAGCCTGCTCTGGCACCTGTGTGATGTATTGCTGTCACTCCTGAGTGCTTGGGTGTCAAAGGCAAAAGGATAATAATGAAGTCCACGCTGTACATTCCATCGTATCAGCCTATAAATGTACACAGGTGCCCGTATCCTCTGAGTCCCGTGGACTTGTGCAGAGGATCTTGATCCTTTGCACGGGACTTCTGAAATATAAACACGTAGGTATGTACATACGGCGCACACATTAAATATGTGTGTGTGTATATACTTGAACTTAGGAAATAATGTAATCAAGTCCTTCTTCCTGCTAGTAAAATCACATAATAATAATCACATAATAATAATCATCATCACATAATAATAATAATAATAATAATAATCCATTACATAAAAGGATCAAGCTTCATCCTGAGAACTGTTAGTGTTGCTTCTCTCCAAACTCTAGTGTGAACGTTGTTCCAGAATATCATGGCAGTGCTCTGCAGTAATATTTCCTTTCTAATTTGCACATCCACCACCATATTGTGTCCATTGATTCTGAGCAGTGCTGTTTGTAAGCTTCAGTCATTTCCTTTCCCTCAGATCTGCCCATGGATGTATCTACAGAGAAAGAATCCCTCCCTTCTCAGACTTCGTTTTGTGAGACTAAACTTCTTTTAGATTGCTCACACCCCAGTATGGTTCCAAGAGACTTGTCTGTACCTTGTCCAACCTAAGTTGAACTCAATAATATCAGAGGTCTTTTCCAAACTAATTGATTTTGTGTTTCTATTCCAAGCTGAGTTTACTTTTCTTGAATGGCTTTGGGTTCATTTTTCAAGCGTAGGTCTTACTAGTTAAATGACGACATCAGCATTTCCCTATATAATGGAAACACCTCTCATGATAAGCTGAATAATCATATTTGTAATTTTTGTGGCTGCATCTTGTTAATGAATACAGCCAATTACTACTCTGATTTCTCTCCTCAAGACATATCAATAGTTTCAAACAAGTAACTTCTCACCACTGGCTTAAATCCAGGACCAGTACAGGAGCTTGCCCTTTGAACTGTCATCTTTCACACAAAAAAGCTTAAAAATAGTAAGAGTATAGTTGGATTAGGCCAGTATTTCATTAGTTTCTTCCCACTTCAAGACTTCCTCTTTCAGCAGCCATGTGTAGGGCTTGTCTCACTTTCGGGTATATGAAGCAATCTCCAGAAACATGAACTAAATCTAACTCTGGATTGTCCAAACTGCAGTGTTGATTTTATTAGCATGGAAAACATTTCAACAGCAGAATATAAAGGCAAAAATAACACATAGATGCTGCAAGAGGAGTTTGTATGATGACATTTGCTTTGTCAAACTTTAATCATCAAAATCTAAGCTAGTTGTGTGGTTTCCCTCTACAACCACCAGAAGGATGCTGGCAGCTCCCCAGGGTTTTTATCACTCAGGCATATACTTTAGGATCTGTTTCCTATCAGTGCCTGCTTCTTCCTTTCCACAGGTTGTCAAGTGAATCTGCATCAGCAGAGCAGCTGAAGCATGCAGGTAAAATCAGGTGAAATGAACCTCTCTTCACTGTTTATGTTAAAATTCAAAAGAGTACTCCAGACAATGACATTTGGATTTTTCATGCATTGAGAAGAAAACGGATCACAGAGCAGCCACCTGGGATGTCAGGGAACTGTTTTAAAAGAACTCAGCTCCCTAAGTCTGGTCTTTATCGCCATGTCATGAGGCAAATATAAACACTGAGAGAAAAACATGGGATGTTTAACACATTTTTATTTTACATAAACAAGTGTTTATTAAAATGTTCTTTGCATAAATTGTTGTAATTACAAATTAAAACAAGAATAAGTTTCTGAATTCTGATTTCCAACCACAGAGCTCTGATTCTATGGTGGGTAAAATGGTGAGACAGGAAATTTCCTCTATGTTTCCATCTGCTCATATATCAGACTGATTCTGTCTTCTAGGAGCTCACTCTGAAAAAAAATGGTCTTTTCGCAGACCGGAGATTTTAAACAAAACTATTGTTCTCTCTCTTGTTTGTGACAAAAGGTAATGAAGAGAGATTAGGAGTTCATGAGTACAGCAGGAGCTCTGGAATAATTATTAACAGGAATTTCTAAAAAGGAAAGAATTGTGATGTGAAGGGCCAAGTCATAAGGATTAATTAAATAGAAGAAAGGATGCTGACTTTCAAGTAGTCTGGCCTGGAAATAACACAGATGGAGAAGTGAAAAAGAATAGAAAACATCATGTCTGCAAAATGTTCTCTGAGTGAGTGTTTTTGGGAGAGGGCCACCTAAAGGATTCAACTTTTGGTAGAAACACTATGCATTATCCATGCCCAAATTTGTGGGTAATCAATTCACAGATCAACTGATGAGTTAGTTAAATGCTGTTTCCTTAGAGTAACATCCAGGTTTGCAAGTATCTTTGATAATACACTTTTGACAACTCAGGATGTTGCTGGAGCACATTCTCCTTCTCTGTCACACAGTCCCTTCTGCACTTCCTGGTGGGCGAATGCAAGCCCAAACAACACAACAAAATATTCCATATTTAATTTCGTTGTAGTGTTTTCCTCTGCACACAAAAAGCTTACACTTCTTTGCACCTTTATCAGGGAAAGTAGCAATAATCTCAGTTCACCGTCGCATTTAAAATGGGAATTGAAAAACAATTTACTTATCAGGACACAAATCCAACCTTCTGTTTGCTTCTCTAACTTTATTGTCTCTGAAAGCAGAACAAGAGCTGCTTTTCCTCCTTCACGTTGAGGCATTGGTACCTATTTAAGTGGAAATACAGAGTCAAAATTTCCACTTGTAGCCAGTGAGTGAAACAGAAAATTCATATTCTGCTAGTTTTGTGGGAATACGCTGTGGTAAAATGAATAATCGCCAATTATTTAACTTCTTAGGAGGGAAAATATAAAGCCATCAGGTACTTTTGAAGTGCTCAGTCTGTGTTAGGCTGACCTTGGTGTCTCTCTAGAAAACCTGGTGTGTATTCTTGGCAGCAGGCATCAGTTCCCCGAGGGAGAGGATATACAAGCCTGCAGGAATGTAGATAAACATCTAAGATTTTACTCTGCATAAGAACAACAACAAAATAATCAGTGAAAGCCTCCAAAGAGCTGCTAAGGGGCCCTTCTTCACAGTCACAAGTACCTTACTAAGAGGAAAGCAAAATCTTCTAATTGAAAATACTTCATAATTATTAGATCCCATCACAATTCTGACTTTTTCAACAACAAAAAAAATACTCGATGGGGTTTAGTTTTTCTGGGGGTTCGTTTTTCTGGGGACAGGGAGGGAGAAACGTGTGTCTTTTCTAGCACTAATTGTTTTGCCAGTCGTTATTAACATGATAGCTTTCAGAACCAAAAATGCAGGAAACCATTACTTTGTAAAATTTAGCAGCTTGCTGGAAATCTTATACACCTCACAGAAGCATCTACTGACTAGCAACACGTAGAGTTCAGTCAATATAACTGAAAGTGTGGGGGGGTGATTGTCAGGGGAAATACTATTTATTATAGAATTTTCTAAACAATTGGTCAACTCTGACAATTCCACAGACATACAGACTGTCCCTTGAGAATGCTATTTATAAGCTCAAAAGCGGCTGAACAGCACTCACAAAAAGGCTGCCAGTTTCAAGAAAATTAATGACAATCTTACATTGTCAGAAAATGAAGAGAGAAGAGGCTTTGTGCTGAGCTTAAGGCATGAAGTGTGTTTGCACTCCTTTGTCTTGGCCTCTCTGTCAAAGGCTGGGGTATTGATGAGAACACACTGCTCATGGCAGTGTCAGCTCAGACAAATCAATACAGGAAAATGTAAACATACAGGTAACTTCACATCTCTTTTTCTAAAAGGCTCCCAAGAGCCTTGGAGCCTTCAGGGTGTGGCTTTGCTGTACTTCCATAAAAAAAAAAAACAACAACCCATAACAAACCCACAAAAAAACAGCCAAGACAATCACACTCAAAACAGTTCCCTAAGTGCAAGTAGTATGTGCAGAGTTTCTGCACCCAATCCATCTTTTTGGTAATAGACTAATTTTATTTGTAATTTTAAGCATTCCAGTTGAACACAGTTTAATTGCAGGTCCACACTGCTCTAAAGACTAACAATTCCCTGTTTTAAAAGTTTCCTGATGGATTTAGAAGCTGAACTTACTGAGGAAAACCATCAGATGAGCATTAGAACCAGCAGAGGAGCGAGAGAGCCAGAAAGAGACGTTCAGTGTCAAAGAGTGACCTGTTCCAGTTGGTGTATCAGTGGCTCAGCTGCTGTTGGCACCACACTTATGGCACAGAGGGCCTGTAGGGGTATCAGAAATGCTCCTTTGAACACAAAACCACTTCCAGTTGATACCATCCTCTTACCTGTGGCACAGAAAAGCACCCTGATATATAACTTGTGTGCCTTTACCGTGATACAAGCATTTATGATGATGTGTCAAATGCTTTCATAA